AACCTGAATGGACCTTTCTCATTGCCTTAGCAGAAGGACTATGGCAGAACTGTTGCTATGTGACTTCTGAGGCTAGGTCATAAGCCTGCCACGTGCTTCTGCCTGGCTTTTACGGTATGCGCACTCTTGGAACTCAGTTGCCATGCTGTGAGGAAGCCCAAATCATCCTACGTGGAGAGACGACATGTGGAGTCCAGTGAAGGTGTTCCAGTTGACAGCCCACCTGAGATCCCAGCTGACAACACACTTCATCTGACAGGCATGAGCAAAGATGCTTCCAGATGATTCTAGCCTCCAACTGTCAGGTAACTGCCAACTCTGAGTCTTACAAGGAGAAGTCCCAGAAGTCACAGAGCAGAGACAACCTCTCCCCACCATGCCATGTCCAAGTTCTATGCCACAGAAGCTGCGAGCATAAGAAAATGATTGTTTTATATGACTAAGTTTTGGGGATGCTTGTTACACAGCAATAGTAACTGGAACAGAAGGTATTTTCTCATGATCAGGTGTCTATCTCAAGGGAGAAATTCTTGTAGCCTTTTTTTGCACCTTCTTCTGGGGCAGATGTGATTTGCAAGGATGATGCCCAGTCATCACCCCACAACTTCGTTAGAGGAAAATTGGATAGAAAGCCTTTCCTTGATCTTTAGTCACAATATATTAATATATTTTACTTGATTCCTTGTTTGTTGTTTATTTCCCACTGACTAGAATGTCAGTTTCCCATGGACAGGATTTCTTTATTCTGTTTTGTATGTTACTATTTTCTTAGAGCCCAGACTTTGTACTTAAGAGCTGCTCAATAAATAATTACTGAATGAATGAGTGAGTGAAGATGAAACATCAGGTGAGCATAATTTTTTTTTTTTTGGTTGTTGGGGGAAGTAATTAGGTTTATTTATTTATTTTTTAATGGCGGTACTGGGGATTGAACCCAGGGCCTCATGCATGCTAAGCACACACTCTAATAATGAGCTGTACTCTCCCCAAAGTGGGGACAGATTTTTTTTTAATTGAAGTATAGTCAGTTACAATGTGTCAATTTCTGGTGTACAGCACAATGTCCCACTCATGCATATACATACATGTATTCATTTTCATATTCTTTTTCATTAAAGGTTATTACAAGATATTGAATATAGTTCCCTGTGCTGTACCAAAGAAAGTTTAAAAAA